CAGGGTTGTAATTCCATGAGGAAAAGAGAAAAGGCACTTACTGATCCTCCTGTCCCGTTCCTCTGGAAAAAGGGAAAAGGGGGGATAAAAAGGAAGGGAAAAGGGAAAAGAAAATAAATATAAAGGGAGAGATAAAGGGGAAAATAAAGGGGAAAAGAGGGAAATGTTGGAAAATAAGGGGGAAAATCTCCAGGCCCAGCAGGAATTGTGACCCCTCTTACCCCCAAATCCGGGATTTATTGGGTTTGGTCACTTTAAAAATCCCACTTTTTCCTCAAAAATGAAGAGGAAAATGGAAATTATGGTGGAATTTCAAACAAAACTAGAATTAAATTGTTGTTTCCTTTTCATAGAGGAATTGCCTTCATTCCTGTCTCAGGTGGTGTCTGAGGGGGGAAATCCCCCTTTTTCCCCCCAAACCCCCCCTTTTTTCCCCAAAATCCCCTTTTTCCCTCCAAAATCCCCCTCTTCCCCCCAGATCCCACTTTTTTTCCCAAAAATTCCCCTTTTCCCCCCAGATCCCACTTTTTTCCCCCCAGAATCCCCCTTTTTTCCCCCCCAAATCCCCCTTTTTTTCCCAAAAATCCCCCTTTTCCCCCCAGATCTCTTTTTTTCCCCCAAAATCCCCCTTTTTCCCCCAAAATCCCCCTTTTTCCCCCCAAAACTCCCCGGCAGGACTCACCCAGCGAGGCCGTCAGCTGATCTGGGAATAACATGGAGAGAGAGAGGGAAATAAATCCGGGATTTCCTGTGGAATTCTGGGCCCTTCCCAGAGGAATTAAACCCTTCCTGCCCCTCTGTGGGATGCCCCCCGGGGAAAAACGGGAAAATTTGGGCTGGAAAAGGGATTTTGGGGTGAAATTTAGGGATTTGGGGGTGAAATTCAGGGATTTTGTGGAGAAATTTAGGGATTTTGAGGTGAAATTTAGGGATTTCAAGGTGAAATTTAGGGATTTCAAGGTAAAATTCAGGAATGTTGTGGAGAAATTCAGGGATTTGGGGGTGAAATTTAGAGATTTGGGGGTGAAATGTAGGGATTTCAAGGTAAAATTTATGGATTTCGAGGTGAAATTTATGGATTTTGAGGTGAAATTTATGGATTTCGAGGTGAAATTTAGGGATTTGGGGCTGAAATTTCAAATCGGGCCAATAGAGGAGAATAAATCCTGGGAAATTGGTGAGAACAGGACCCAAACTGTGGGAAAATCCCGAGGGAGGAAATCCAGGACTCACCGATTTCAGCCGTGAGTTCACCTGCAAGGGAGAAATTCGGGGCTGAAAATTCCCCGGAAACGTGGAATTTTCCCAATTCCCCCAACACCCCCTTAAAAAAAAACTCACCAATTGCTGCAGTTTCCCCCCAAAACAAAAGGAGAAAAAGAAGAAAAATCAGTTTAATTAATTTATTTTCATTCTAGATCATTATTTCACTTCCAGTATCAGGAAATAATCCAAGTTCTAAGTGGATTTATTCCCTTCATCCCACTTTTATTCCTCCTGTTTATCACTTCTCCCATTATTCTGAGGGTTTTTAAGACCTTCCCTTTCTGTTATTTGGAATTTTAATAACAATAACAGCAATAATTCACTTATTTAGAAGACCCTACCTGTTAACAATACTATTATTTATAATTTTTATATATAACTTAATTATGTATATTTTATATTACATTTGTATAAATTAATTATATATATTTATATTTACATAATCTAATTACTTATGTATTTAAATTACATAATTATACTCTCATTTAGCAGCATTTGGACCCAAAACTCACCATTTTCTGTGTCACATTCCTCTGAAAACAAGGGGGGGAAAAAAAGGGAATTTGAGACCTGGGCAGGAATTTATTGATCTGGGGATAAACTCACAGATTTGGGGGTAAACTCACAGACCTGGATATAAATTCATATATTTGGGTATAAACTTCTAGATCTGGGTATAAATGAGTATATTTTGGTAGGAATTCACAGATTTGACAGAAGTTTGGGGTCTGGGTGTAAAATTTCCTGGTTTAAAATCCAACCTCGACCCCAGAAATTATTTCCCCCCCAAAATTCCCAATTTCTTCCCCCAAATCCCCCTTTTTTCCCCCCAAGTCCCCCTTTTTTCCCCCCAAAATTCCCTTTTCCCCAAATCCCCCTTTTTCCCCACAAAAAAATTATTTTTGCCTCTAGCAGAGCAAAAAAACAAAGAAAACACCAAAATAACCCCCCAAAAAATCCACTTACCCAGTTCAGTGTCGCTTTCTTTGAGGAGAAAACAGGGAAAACCACCTCAAATTTCCATAAAAAAATGACATTTTCCGGCCACTGCCCACGGGGGGGAAGGGGTTGAAGGACTTACCAAATTCCTCCTGTAATTTCCCTTAAAAAATCCAGACAAAATGAGGGGAAAACTCTGGAATTTTGGCTTTTTAGGGATAAAGAGGGAGGAGAAAAAAAAGTCCACTCACGGATTTGTGTGACCCATCCCTCTGGAAAAGAGACAAACGGGGGCTCAGGGGGGGAGTTCGATGCTCTCCTTGGATTTCCCAAGGATTTCCCAACCTTTGGAATTCCACAATTCCATGAATTCCCCCCCCAGTGGCTCCTCCTGGGTGTTTTTTTCGTTTTTAACCCTCAGTTTTGCCTTAAAAAAATCATTAATTTGACTTTTTCCCCCTTGATTTGATGGTCCTGAAGGTCTTTCCCAACCTTTGGAATTCCATAATTTCATGAATTCCCCCCCAGTGGCTCCTCCTGGGTGTTTTTTTCATTTTTAACCCTCAGTTTTGCCTTAAAAAAATCGTTAATTTGATGTTTTTTCCCCTTAATTTGATGGTTCTGAAGGTCTTTGCAAAGGGAATCCGTTCCAGAATTCCATAGTTAAAGCGGATCCGGGGGGAATTTGAGGGGCTCTAGAACATTCCAGAGGCAGAAGGAGGAAAATCACTCACCCAGAGCTGCATTTTCCCCTAAAAAAAATAAGGAAAAAAGAAGGGAAAAGCAAAGTAAGTTTTGAGCATTCCCAGAGGAAAAAACCTCAGGGAATTCAAATTAACTCCGTTAAATCTCAGTTTTCTGGGATGGGAACAACCCTGGGAAGGCCCAAACCGGCAAAACGGGGGATTTAAAGGGGTGGGAATATGGGAAATTTGGGGGAAATTTGGGAAATTTGGGTAAAATTTGGGAAATTTTCCCTCCTGGAAATGAGGAGGAGGGAAAGGGGTTGGAATTTGGCACCTGATCCTTGGAAAATCCATTTGCACCCACCCGGGTCCATCACGGCGTCGATCCCACCCGGAATCGGCTCCGGGAGCTCCGTCGGCCTGAGGGGAAAAAAGGGAAAAGAGTCAGAACTGGGGAATTTTTCCGGGCCCATTGGGAATTTTGGGGGATATTCCAGCCCCCAAGGGGCGTGGGGGAGGCTTTTCCCTGTTTTTAGGGTGGGAATTCCCCATTCCCGGGGACAGCTGGGGTTGGGATTGGGAAGGAGGGACAGGATGGACCCCATGGGACCCCCCCCCCATAACACATAATTTTTAGTCATTTTGGGCTCAATTGACCCAAAATCAGGGATTTTGTGGGCGCAGGGACGGGGATTTTGTCCCTTTCTGGGACACCCCGGCGAGGACGGACATTCCATGAGGGAATTTTTATCCCCCCCCAGGTGGGAAAATCCCATTTTTGTGCCCATTTTTGTGCCCACGAGCCCCAAACTCCCAGAGGAGCTGCCACAAGGGGGAGGGCAGGAAGGAATATCCCAAATTCCCAGAAGGAGTAGCCCCAAATTCCCAGGAAAAGGGAAAGCTGGGAATGCTGCTCCATTGCCCCAAACTGGGGAGAAACACCGTGACAAAAACAGGGATTTAGGGAATAAAAGGACCAAGGGAAGTGGCACTGATTATTTCCACGTGATATTTTCCCAAAAATAATTCCCAGGGTCCACTCTTTTTGCTCTTCCCTCATTTTTTGGGATCCTCAGGGGGTAAAATAGGGATAATAAATAAGTTTTCCTGTGGAGGGACCACAAATTGTCCCTTCCCAGGGCCCGGATCGGGTTCCCAAGGCCCCAAAGGGAATGGGACACCCCCAAATCCAGGGTTTTTGGGAACGGAACACCCCCAAATCCGGCCCCTTTGGAAGGGGAAAGGGACTCACCTGGCCGGTGGCTGCTCCCCTGACCCCGAATTTGGGGGGTTGGTCCCAGGAAAGGGGTCCCGGAGGCTCCAGAGGCTCCGGAGGAGCCGCGACAGCTGAGCTGGCACCGACCCCAAACCCCAAAATAGCCCCGGGAGGGAGAGGATCCTGAAATGGCCACGGAGGGAATGGGATCCTTGGGGGGGAATGGGATCCTCAGGGAGAGGATGGGATCCTCAGGGAGAGAATGGGGTCATCTGGGGGGGAATGGGATCCTCAGAGAGGGAATGGGATCCTTAGGGGGGGGGGGGGGGTCCTGGGGGGGGAGGGGGGGGCTGGGGGGGGGAATGGGGGGGTTGGGGGGGGGAGCAGGACCAGGATCCGTCCAGGGGGTCTGGTGGGACCTCGGTGGTCGTGGGTCAGATGTCGCTCGGGGATTCCCCTGAAATAAAGAGAATTGGGACTCACTCGGATCTTTGAGTTGTTTTGTGTAAAAAAAGGCTCATGAAACACTTGGAGGGGTCTCATCCTGCCCCAAAGACCCAGAGCTCTCCTGCAGCCCCCTCGTCCCCACAGCCCCCTCAGACCCTTTCTGTGTCCCCCACAGCCCTCCGAAACCCTCCCTGCTCCCCCCAAGCCCCCCACCCTCCAACACCCTCCTTATGCTCCCAAACCCCCTCCCTGCCCCTCCAGGACCCCCCTCACGACTCTCCCTGTCCCTCTCAAACCCCCCTCAAGTCCCTCAGGACCCCCGTTCCTCCTCTTTCCGTACACCCCCACGGGCGCCGCCATCTTCCCTCCTCCCAACCGCGCGCCGCCATTTTCTCCCCTCATCTCTGCGCGCCGCCATTTTTTTGCCGTACGGCGCGACGTCATTTCCCTTTCCGGCGGAAGCGCCCCCGCCCTCTCTGCCCGCGGCGCTCTGAGGGCTCCGAGGGCTCCGCGCCCCGAACGCGCCGAAATCCCCCGGAATCCGCCCAAATCCGCCGCCCCCCGGGGGTCCCCGCCGCCAAGATGACGGAGCAGATGACCCTGCGCGGCACCTTGAAGGGCCACAACGGCTGGGTGACCCAGATCGCCACCACGCCGCAGTTCCCGGACATGATCCTGTCGGCATCGCGCGGTGCGGGCGGCGAGGGGGGGATGAGGGGGAATTTGGGGGGCTGGGGGGGGGACCATCGGGGGGGTGATTGGGGGCGCTGAGAGGGGACCATTAGAGGGGGTTAGGGGTGGTCTGGGGGGGAGCATTTGGAGGGAATTTGGGGAGCCTGGGGGGGACCATTAGAGGGTTGGTCTGGGAGGGACCGTTTCGAAGGGGTTTGGGGGTCCTGGGGGGGGACCTGCAGGAGGAATTGGGGGGTCTGGAAGAGCCCATTGAGCCGGGAAGGGGGAGACTGTTGGGGATATAAGAGGGTACCTGGGGGGAAACCTTTGGGGTGAGCCTGAGGGGGCGACTGGAGGGAATTAAAGGGGCATCCAAGGGAGAACTGAAGGATCTTGGGGCGACTCTGGACAGGAGGAAGCCGTGAGGGGAAGGGCGTGGGGGTCTGGGGAGGGTCTGGAGGACCCCCCTGACACTCACCCCCTCTCTGTGTCCCCCCCCAACCCCCAGACAAGACCATCATCATGTGGAAGCTGACCCGGGATGAGACCAACTACGGGATCCCCCAGCGCGCCCTGCGCGGCCACTCGCACTTCGTCAGCGACGTGGTCATCTCCTCCGACGGCCAGTTCGCCCTGTCCGGCTCCTGGGACGGCACCCTGCGCCTCTGGGACCTCACCACGTGGGTTTGGGGGGGATCTGGGGGGGGTTAAGGGTAACACCCTGCGCCTCTGGGACCTCCCCACGTGGGTTTCGAGGGGGTCTGGGGGGGTCAGGGGTAACACCCTGCGCCTCTGGGACCTCCCCACGTGGGTTTTGGGGGGGCTCAGGATCTCCCCACGTGGGTT